ATGAGCACGGAGAACTGACCCTTCAGTTTAGCAACTTGGAATTCACTGGTTACCTCCACAAGGGATGAAACATTTAGGAAGAGTAGCGCGGATGACTAATTATTTGAAAGGTTAGTCAGCATGATACTAGAGGGAGGGAGTGAAACTAGAGAGAGGAAATCATAGAGCGGGAAGCATAAAACTGAAGCAAGGTGGGACGATTGCAGTTGCCGATGATGGCGAGGTGTCGGGCGCGGCGTGGACGTTACCGGCTGAAGGAGACGAGAGGCAAGATCAGTTGACAAGCGTTGCCCAGGGAATCGAGAGCCCAGCTTGTGGGAAGGGTCCTCTTCCCACACCCCGATGTCGCCAAGAGTGGGAGATTCAAAGCTGGGTCAGTTAGTCCAGCGCCATGAAGCACCGTGGTCTGGAAGTGGCGGGGGTGTGTGTGGATTGGGGGACGGAGGGGCTAACGAAGAGAATACTCCCCCGGCCCCCAGGCCCCGTGGTCCATGGGCTGTGCGAGGTAGAGAAAAGCTGGCGAGGGCTGCGGGGAAGAGTCACCATCTGAGGAGAGCCAAGCTTCCATTGCAGAAGCAGGGGAGAGAATGCCCAAAGGGGAGGTGGAGGGCATACAGGGGTTTTGCCAGGGACGGACCATGAATGCCAGAGGCCACAGCCCAAGACTTGGTGAGTCAGGTGGGAGCTGAGATGGGCAGAATTTTACAAGTGCTGGAGATATAAGAGTAACAGAGAGATCTATCTAGAGCTTCCTGACAGACAGAAGACAAGCGAAGGGCCTAATGACACTAGCTCTGGTGACTATAAGGTTGAAATCGGTGGAGAGACTTGAAGAGCTTGGAGGGATAGGGGATGGATAAATGCCAGGAGTTCCTTCTTGAATAAGTGTGATCTGGGGCCTCTGAATTGTTGTCCCCCTTTGGAACCTCTGTTGATGGAGGGTAGACGGCCTGGCGATGGACTTGGACTTGGTTCCAGTGATACAGTTTGCTCCTTAAGCCCTGTGTTTTCCCCCTGTCCTGGGGGATATTGAGTCTGGGTGATGGAATCAAGGACCTGTGGGGAAGCCAGGACTTATGCTGGACATTCAGACTCCTTCAACCCCTGAATGGGCTGGCACATGGAGAATGGATAGAAGAAGGCCTGGGTGACCTTCATGCCAGTAAGAGACGCCCGCTCTTGATCTAGAGGGAGGGGCTTCCCTGGAGCCCCTCTGATGGAGCTGAGGTGTATTTGTCCTGTTATTAACATTAAAGGTTATATCCTTCAGTGGAGAGATTCTTAGTGTTTTCTCCCCTTTGCCATATGTTGGGTTTTTAGTTTATCCTTGGGAAATAGGACACGTCTTTGGTTAATAGACATTTGAGGTCCACAAAATGAAATGCTGTGAAAGCAATTCAGATGGGACTGACAGGTGTGACAATGGGGGCTCAGCTGCTCCCAGCTTCTCGGTTTGATGACAGTCTTGCAATAAATAATCAGAAACTGGGTGAAATGATAGAAAATGTCAGTTTAAAGTTTTCACTTGTCAGAACGAAGATTGTCTTATCACCAAACCACTGCTGGACCAAATGATGCTACCTTGCATCTCCTCCTGCTCATTGGAGAGCATCCTTCACCCCGATTCCTTTTATGCTGAACTGTGCTGGAGCACTTCACAGGCACATTTCCCGTCTATACTGATGTTCATGGCCGCTCAGTGCATTTCATAAAGGGGACAAAGTTTGGGCAGAAAGCGGCTGTTCAGCTCTTCTGTTCATCAGCCTTGGTGTCTGTCATTGGCAGTCCCACGTTCAACAGGGCAGACCTGTCTTAGTCCAGGAAATTATTTTCAGTTTTATGAAGAGGTTACCCTCGTTTTATCTGTGCAACAGAGATAAAATTCTCAAGAACATCAGGTTTTTATTTGTCTAAGCAGCCATCACGATGTAACTGCTGACCTTTGGAAAGAAGACTGAGGTTCATTTAATTTAGTGCTGAGTTTCTAAAAAACATTAGCCAGTTTATTTTCAACAACATGAGAAGATGCTTCCGAGGAGCCATTGAGAGCGTTCGGACACCCAGGGGCCTGCGCAGCGTCTGACGGGCCCGGGATCCGCCAGATAAGACAGCAGGGCTCGGGGAGCGGGGCGTCGCTCCCAAGGTCAGCCAAGTTCAGACTCAGATGTCTTGACCAATATACGACACTGAGGTTTGAGCAAAAGGTGTCTTTCTAAATATCTATCCTCAAGATGAGAAAAACATTTGGCTTTCATAGCCAAGTCTCCTATTTAAAGCTATAAAATCTTAAGATGTAGGAAAGCCATATTGTTTCTTTGGTTGTTGCTTATTTTTGCTGGATTTTTTTTTTCTTTTGAATATGAAATTTTCTCTGCTTCTTTTTCAGCTAGTCCCTCTTCTTTTCTCCTTGTAAATGTATATTATGTCTTGAGAGAAAATTAGGACTATGGAAGGGAAGGGAGGGATTTGAGATCAGAGATGGAATTCCAGCAGTTATAATTTGCCCATATCACATGGCAGGGAGTTTCGCGTGGACCCTGACTTCTGTTTCTGAGTGTGACGAGGGGCCATGTGAGCCCCAGGGGAGCAGCAGAACAGGTCCGCGCTGAGCCTCAGCTGCCTCGTTAGTGAAAGCAGAGATTTGATGCAGAGCAAGTAAGACCGTGCACCATGGAGAAGCTGTCTGTATAGCAGAGGCCTGGCTCACAACAGCTCCATGCTCTCACCCTCCCTTCCTGTCTCCTAGGTTCTCTAAGGATGCCAGCGCTCAAACTGAAGACTTTAAAACAAACAAACAAACAACCCTGTAGCTGCGTGTGCCTTCTTGGAAACATGGCACACTGCCCCGTGGTGCACTAGGTCAGCTTGTCAGAGTGACTATCCTGTGCCCTTGCAGCATTTAAAGGAGCCAGTGGAGCTGAACACGCTGCCCTCCGGAGAGCTGGCATCTTACCTCCACGGCAGAAAGCACTTATCATAACCAGTGTGCGCACCGCAGTTAGTTCACACCGAGGACCTGATTAAACCAGGATAGCAAGACCTGGCCTATCTATAGCACATGAAGGAAGCGTTTTGTACTGAGGAATATTCTAGCCCATGCGCTTTATCAATACTTATTAACTTTATTTGATGGACGTCGTTGTAGACATTCAAGTGTTTCAGCCCGTTTCCTGCATCTGTGCCTCACAGACACTGCCCCCTCCTCCTGGAAAGTTCTTGAGGCTCTGCCCTGGGCTCTGTCCATTCCTTTGCCCCTCCCCACCCAGATTAGCTCCCCCCATCCCATCTTTCAGACGCTGCTCAAGCTGCACATTCTCCAAAAAGCCGGCATGACACGCCAGCGTGAGGGAGACGCCGCTTCTCTGGGGACCCAGTCACTGCGTTCCTGTTAGAGTGAGGGTCGGGAGAGGGATGAGAAAGGAGGACAGTGCCGGAATGGGGAACCGGCCCAGCCCCGGAGACGGGGAATGGTCGCTGAGGAAGCGGCATGTAGGCTGAAGACTGAGTGGACGGTAGCATGGAAGGAGGAGCGAACATTCCTGCAGAAGGGGTCGCGGATGTGACGACCCATCCCCACACCCCCGAGGCAGAAGGAACGGAGATCCCACTGCCTGCCTCTCTCATAGGCATTGTCGCTCTGGCTTAGTCATTGGTGTCACTTACTGAGAAGGAAGCCAGAGAGGAGAACCAGGTGTGGGTTGAACCCACGGGGGTGTCACCCTATGCTATTCTCTGTGAGGCTATAGTGGGTGCCCTAGCTTTTCTGATCTGCAGTATCCTCATCTGTAAAATGGGTATGACAGTTCTACTTACCTCAGGGGCTGTTGTGATGACTGCGTGGGGTCTTGGCAGCTGGCAGACAGTGATACTCACAGCGTGGCGACTCCCTAGGGCATTAAACAGCTGAGCTGGATGGTTTTCTATTTTGATTAGAACCTCTTGATTGCATGAAGTTGGAATAATGAGACTGTTTATTTTCATGACAATCCAAGATAACACATTTCTCTACAAAATAAGGTAGCGTGGCCACGGGAGAGTCAGAGAGGGTGACTGGAAGCTCTTCCGTGGACACTCAAAGTAGCATCACAAACTAATTATATCGGCTATGATTTAGTAATCTAGATTTCCCACAAACTTGTTCCTGCAAAAACTTATGCCTAATTCAAATATGTTGTGTATACATGGCCTGTTTTGCATTGTCTGCAAACTGACCATGGTAGCAGACCCCCTTTCCAGGGAATTTCAAGGATGCACGTGCTTAGCAAAGCCCCCAGCCTCTGTGCTCACAGATTGAGGGCACCAGGAGGGACTGGGCTGAGGGGAGCCTCTCGCCCCCTCTCCTGTGACATGTCCTCGTGGACGCCGAGTCCAGTGTGTCAGTCCCTTCCTGATGCTGATGGGCTGGTGCTGGGGAAACGAAGCATTTCATCTCGGTCCTGTGTTATAAAGGGACGTGCCCGCAGTTCAGGTGGCATCACGTGTTCTGGTAGGTGAGGGTTAAGGAGGAAATAAAGTCTTTTGCTTCCCGTAAACGTCCCATCTATTGGAGAGACGTCATGGTTTTCCTCCCGCCTCCGCGCCCACGGTTCCCTGCACGAGCCCAGCGTTTGTTCTTGGCACAGGGCTCTGTCATTGTCCCCTGCACGTCCGTCTGTGCTCCAGACAGTCCTACCAGGACACTACCACCACTGTCATATCCCCACGCACACACACACAGTGGGCACTTCTCTGTGCTGTGGCCGCTTGCTGTGGTTAAGGCGTCAGCACATGTATTATGTATTAAAGGTGGGGGGCTGAGAAAGGGGCCTTGATGACCTGAAGCCTGCAGCCTCTGAGTTAGGGATCCCTCGGCTCCGGGGGGACTCCTGTCAGTTTTTACTCTGCCCTGTATCAGTTATATTTATGTTTTGGACACTTGATTGCATGTCATCGAAACTCCTGGTCAAGTTGTCCTGTGTTCTCACCTGTTTCTTCTCTGTGTTTTCTTTCATTCACTGCAGTGGTGCTAATTACTATGATTACGGTCATGGACTCAGTGAAGAGGCGTATGATTCCTACGGTGAGTGAGTGGCCGGCCGGCGTGGTCCATGAACAGAGGGAGGGAAGTGCTTGTGGGAGCAGCCCAGCGACCCTAATTGAGGGGAGTTCATGCAGACATTCAGACTGGTGTAGCACTTCCATTCAGGTCATCTGTGCCTATCTAGCTATTTTCCGTAGCTCCCTTCAGGTTTAAATTTACTACTTAAAGAGAACTAAAGACTTGCAGAACGTGTGCAGGAATTCAGATTTGGAACCTCGGTTTTTTGTTTGTGTTGATTGCCACGTGCTGATTTTCTCATTTATAGAATCATTTGCCGAACGGCAGCCACGTGATAGCGTGGGTCTTTTTTGAAGTGTCTTTGCTTCTCAACAGTAAAGGGAAATGAAGCAATTGAGACTCCAGCTCTAAAGTATTCTCTCGCCCCCATCTTTATGTTTTAATTCTTCACCCATCTCAGGCCTGCTAAGCACATTACAGTGGGAGTCATCCCAGCGAGGTGACACGAGCCCTGGAGCCGGGGGGAAGGTGTCAGGGTGTCCACAGCTCGCAGGGAGATGCCCAGCCCCTCTCAGCTCAGTGAGGAATCCGTGCCCCAAGTCTCAGTGTGCAGAAGGATGACGGGTTTAATTAAAAGAATTGGTGGCAGCAACATAATAACTGCAAGAAGCTCCTTTGCCGCGGGGCAAGGCGCTCAGAGAACATGACGCTTCAATCAATTGCAAAGCGGACCCAGTGCCACTGAATCAGGATTCTGGTTAATGGATGTTATGACATTTCTCTGAACATAACTGAAAAACCATTTGCTAGCATTCCCTTTGAAGTGCATTTTGTTATGTCACCTGCCCCAAGCCGTGATGACCGCACCTTTGATTTTTTTGTTGTTGTAATTCAAAGCAGACACTTAAGAGAAGCGAGTTGGTTTGTTGACTGCTGTACCCTTAAATTGATACACGTTAGTGTGAGGGGATGATTGCATGTTTGTGTCAAAAGAAGAGGTCCTTTTAAGCATTTTTTCCTCCGCAGCTTTTTAAAATTGGTCTCTGTGGACACACGACTTTCAAATTGCTGTGTTTTGCAGCAGGGGTGTTAACTGCTTGTTGTCACAGGCCTTCGATCGCTTGGAAGTCCTGAGGTTGACCCTGTTTTAATTTCAGGACATAAAGATGATAGAACGCCCTCGGTTATTAATGCCATGGCCCAGTGTGGATTGAGTGCTATGAGTGACATGTGACATTATGTCATTAATTTCCTTTCATATTGATGAGGTGCTATTGGGGTATAAATTTCCACCGAATGCAACTCTCATCTAGCGTTTCTAGAAGACCTAAACAGCGCGGCATTTCTCCCTCAACCTGCCCGTTCCCATTTTGCTCACCTGTTACTCTTTTTGTCTTCACACACGTGTATCTGTGTTTTCTTTGTTTTTGCTGTTAGAGGAAATCTAAGTGATCTTTTTCCGTTCCGCTTTCCATTTGTAAATGCCTTACTGTTTAGCAAAAGACAGTTCAGTTTTGCTACTTGCACTTGTGAGTGTTTATCAAATGAACGGCCAAAAGTTCTCAGGAAGT